GGCTCTGTCACCCAACAGGGACTGCCATGACAGTTTGGGCGCTCCGTCTCCTCCGTATGCCAACGGCAGAGCTGACTCCGCACTCCTTCACCGCAGTCACTTCTTCATTCTCTTTACTGCTCCTCATCTTCATCTTCCAGATGCAGAACTCCTGTGCACCGTATTAAACAGGCTAAATAAGGACGAACGTTTAAAAGGCAAAGCCTTTGAATGTACCCCAGTTTAAGTCAAAAGGAACAGGAAAGACAATGTTGTACTGCTGCTTTCTGTTTCACCTGAAATCAGACGGTGTCTTTTCTCTTGTTGCTTTATTCTTTATTTCTTTGAGGAAAACTTCGGCAAACTTTAACCACAAACTTTCACACATGGTAGATGTTGGAGTTATTTTTGTCCATATTTATAATCATTTGTCTACCTGACAGCTGATTCCCAATACAATTGTTTAAAAGATGAAATAAATCTTAAATTGGAGATAGTAATCAAGTCCTGAGAAGATCTTCTTACTAACTGAACAGTTTAATTTGATATAATGACGTAAAAATACAATTTCCACTATTATCAACTTATATTATTTTGGATGAATCTTTATTTTGTATGTCATGGAGGTTTATAGTAACAATGATTGCATTCCTGTAGGCTAATTACACAGCAAGTCAGCTTCTGAGAAGTAAGTATGTGAGATTTGGAGGTAAAAGGGATCTCTGGTTGTTATCTAAACAGTCAAAAACAGTGGTAAAGAGTTCTCTGAACAGTTGCTTTTGAAGGAGAAAAAGCAAGCGTCATCATCCATTATTTGTTCTATCATTTGGGTAACATATAAAACTTAGTGTCTGCTCTGCTACATACATGAAATTTAAAGATGCAAATTTGTTGTGCAGACTCTGATCTGATCTTGAGTTTCACTGACCTGACTACAGTCCAGTTTGAATGAAATGAAATATATACAGAAAAGAAATACAGCTTGTTGAGTCCAAGATAATCCAAGATAAATGAACAACAATCAACGCATAATTCGTTTGCAAAACTGAAAATCTACTGTTTTTCTTTCCTAAACTACAACATCAGTTCATCATTAAATATATGATAAATGTCAGTTGATCATTTGATTTATTGCTTAGTGCTATTTAGCTCTATACTATAATTATAATATTTGCTCTTTTTTACAGTAACAGACAAGGGACCTAGTCTGAGCAGAAGTAGAGTTGCTCTTTTGGTTTCATGGTTTAGGAACCAGACTGCTTGTCATATCAGAATGATAAACATGACAAAACCCTGTTAACAATCAGCACACTGACACTCTGACTTGGTCAGCATAGACTGTGTATGTCTGCCTCCAGGTCTTAGTCCTCACTGTGTGTGTCAGGCTCAGTGACAACTCAGTCACTTTAGGTTTTAGCTGCAGTGTTTGCCACATGACTGCCCGGCCAGTCCTTCATGTATGAGGACATGACACAGGACAGCAAGAGGTGTTTTTTTTCTCTTTCTCCTTCTTTAAATGGACTATTTTACAGGCCTAATGGGACACTTTGCTATGGAGGGTGATTAAGTTGAGTAGTTATGAGAAGCAAGTATTTAACCTTGATGTAAATCAGAAGCAGTTCTTCATGAAGAATCACAGTAACATTTTCACAAAGGAGTTAAGGCAGATAATGGGGCAAAAACAAGCAACGTTTAAAACCGCACATCTTCAGAACCTTACCTTCAGTTTTAAAATGATCATATTTAGTCATCAGTGTATTGATTGATTGACTTTATTGATCTCACAGTGGAGAAATGTATTTATTTTTTTTATTTTTTTATTGATTGATTGATATGAAACATTTTTTGTATATTTGCTATTACCTTGAAATAAAAAGGCCTAATTTGCTGTAATATAGCGGTTTAGGAAATCCTGTGGTATTTATTATGGGACTCACAGTTCCTGAAACAACTACCTCAATAAAACTAGTAACTACAAAAACATAGAATTTTTGTCATTTTGACGAGGAATAGACATGTTTATCTGACAGATGTTACAGAGGAAGAAGTGTTAAAGGTTATCATCCTGCTGTTAGCTCCTGGTAAACAAAAACAGGATGTTTGGAGGAGCAAAATAAGGAAGGGTACATTAGACACATAGCCTGTATTTTCACTGTCTGAAATAAAACCATAGTACATGTTTGCTGTTTTAGTTCCGTTCAGTTGACCTTAATGAGCTTTCAGAAGTTTACATGGGCCACTTCTTCCACCGAAAGTTGGCCGACAAGGATTTAAAGCCCTGAGCTTTTTTTCTTTTTATCTTAACAAAAACAAAAATAATAGAATTTGTTTTCTTCTCTGTTTTACTAATCTGAAAGGCAACAGTGTTTTTTAATAATATCAGCCTTTATGATAACTGATATATAGAGAAGTATAGCTCCAGTCCAATGGGCAGAGGTAAGAAACAGAAGGTATTACTTATTTCCTGCACCTACCTCAGCGTAACTTTCACCCCGTTGCAACTTTAACAGCAAGAAGCACAGAGCTAAGGGGCAGAAATAAATCATAATAAATAAACCGTGACTAAATAAATAAACTGTGCATTCCAATCCTGGGAAAACAGTCCTACCTCCAGAACAGGACCTTTTATCATTGGGAAACCCGAGCGGATGAAGTCATATCTTTGTAAGCTTTAATGCACAACATAGGAGTAAAAATAGAGGCCCACCTGTGAATACATTTAAGGGCGGCATCATGATCAGGTACATGATGTCATGTTAAAATAAAACAATAATCAGCCAGAAATGTAGACATTCTATAACTCTGGCTCATCCTAGGCAACAGTGTCCAAATGTCAAACTTTCAACTATTCCCACTATTTGTCCACCTATAAACAGCATGAGCTTCAGTCATCAAAGAGTTTTATTTAAGTCTAATCAGGTCACAATTCGAGACTCTGCATCACTCTTGAAAACATCATATTTGCACTAAATGGAGAATTTCCAAATCCTTTTAAATAAAACTCAGTGTTCTATTGCATTTTGCAATATACTGATTTATTTATTTTGCACTGCTATGAACCTTCCATATCAATGCCTTTTGCATTTTGATCACTGTTACACTTTTTAAATGGAAATGTTAATTTCACTGCTAAGCTGCTAATTCACTGTTGAACAGCTGTATGCATTGAAATTTCGTTTTGTATAAACTCTGTGTATACAAAATAACAATAAAGTTTGTCTAAGTCTGTCTAAGTGTGTTTGGTCTGAAATAAGTGTGCAGGCCCAAACAAAAGATGCTGTATATGCTGTCTGGAACTACAGGGTATGTGTTATTATTCTTCTTAACATGGGTCTTTACCAATACGGGCTTAAACCGTCACTCAAAAGTCCATTAATTCAAAAGCAACATAAAATATAATGCACTCAGTGGCCGAATCTTAAATAGGAGACATTCTATTATATTGTTTGATGAAACTAAAACTGAAGTGTTTAACCCATCCAGGAATGAGAGCTGTGAATAAGCTTCTCTATAAGCTCTATGATACAGGCAACAGACTTCTGTTCAACAGTTTGTCTGTCTGTCCCTATCAAATAAACGGGGAAGCTCGAAGGGCAGCTGTTAAGTCGGAGGGGCAGTATCATGATGTTTGGACATGTGCAGCAGGAGGGAATGGGGCACTTCACAAAATGAATGGCATCGTGAACATTATGTGGGAATGATAGACAACATACATCAATGTTAAGGATTGGCCATAACTGAATACTGAGTTTGGATTAAAAGAAAACGTGGATAGGAGCTGAAAAAGGGAGTGTGAGTAAACACCACCACACCACTAACCCCTATCCCTGAGGCCTGTTTTCTTTTGGCTTTTGCTCTAAATTGGACTGTGGACTGGTGCAAAGATACTGTAACAGCCTAATCGTGAACGTGGAGAAGACAAACGAGATCATCTTGGACTTCAGGAAGAACCGGCCTAACCACGCTCCACTGGTCATCAACAGCTCAGCTGTAAAGGTGGTCAACAGCACCAAATTCCTAGGGGTGAACATCACAGACACTCTCACCTAGACTGGAAACACCACCTCACTGATCAAAAGAGCACAAAAGTGCTTGTACTTCTTGTGGAAGATGAGCAGAGCCCACCTGCCCCCACCCATCCTCACCACCTTCTACAGAAGCACCATAGGGAGCGTTCTGACCAGCTGTCTCACTGTGTGGTGTGGAGGCTGCAGCTCCTCAGACTGGAAGAAGGTGAGAAGAGTAATGAGAACAGCAGAGAAGATCATCAGGGTTCCTCTTCCCTCCATTAAAGACATTTCATCCCAGCTCTGCGTGTCCCGAGCCCGTAACATTATAAATGACCCCTCACACCCCCACCATGGACTGTTCTCCCTGGAAAGAGACTTCGAAGCATTCGATGCAGGTCCAGCAGATTCCATAAAAGTTTCTTCCCCACTGCCATTAGACTGCTGAATGTTGTGTAAAATGGGATATTTTATTTATTTAAAAAATAAAAATTATGTTATAACTGTAAATATACAGTCATATGTTTATATTACTTTTTTTAAATGTATTTATTGCTATTTTTCAAGGCTGCATTTAAAAAAAAAAAATTGTCTAGAGCTGTTTTAAACAAAACTTTTTTTGTGAACACTCGTATACAAAATGACAAATAAATCTGTCTAAATTAAAAAATAAAGCAATAAGTTCATATATATTATTCTAAATTTAAAGTGTTTCTTGATATCATTTTGATTTTCTTGCTTGAAAAACATAAAAAATTAAGAGCAATGATTACTCTTAAGATTTATAGGTAGAACGCCAAGCACTGAGGTTTACATTAGTTACTCTAAATTAAGCTGTTCTTTGAAGACCTCACCACAACTATCAGAGAGAAGGTCTTTCTATATGGTAAACTTTCACCTGTATTTATAAAAGATTTTGGTTGAAATGTGATTGATGTATAAAAGTTAAAATACAGTTATTAGAATCAACTGTGTTCACCAACTTTGGTCACAAAAACAAGGAAGTTCAAAGAAGTTCAGCTCTGCTACTAAATGTTAGACATTTCTCCATTGGGGTAAGGTGGGGATACATTTGTTGCATTTCAAGCACTGATCGCCTACAGGGGTCCCAAAATAAAAACAAGGAACTCCCTTGTGGCTTTTTATTTCTATACATTTTCACTTCCAAGAACAGAGCTAGGCTCAGCACGCTGTAAGCACTTTGTCTGAGGCTTCTTAATACTTAGAATCTGGACTGAAAAGTGCCCTTTTGAGTTTTCTTCCAACATTGCTGTCTTATTACATTAACCCTGTGGGTTCTGTGGGCTGTGTTTCCAGTCAAGACTGAGTGGATCCACCGTGTGTAAGTGCTCCGGGTGCAGGAAGGCAGTCTGTGGTGTGGCTGCGGGCCAGGCCGAGTGGAATAATTGATTGCCCATTGACCCTCCACTGCCACTGCGGACAGTCCTCTCCACTGCATTACTGCACAGACTGAACAGCTTCTTGACTTTGTGCACCTGAGAAGACAAAGTATTCAAAGGAGTTATAAACAACAGAAGTTTGATTTAAAACCACTTTTATGTATTTTGAATGTGATATGTTAGAAAAATGGAATACCGGTGTCATGTACAAAGTATAAAATCTCCTGAAAAGCTGTTTACCTACGATTTTTTTTTACGTGTTTCTAAGGTTCTTTTAGATGTTTTCTTGACTACATATAAAAAATAAATCTATATGTTTATTGGTGGGATTCCTGCAGTGATGCCACTCAATATGGACTTGAGATTAAAGCCTTCAGAGATTTACATCTGTGCATTAAATTAAGATGTTATAATCGGAGAGCTGTCATTATCTTGGAGCTGATGACTGGCTTAATTATCCATTTCATTCACCTGTCTAATTCTGCCCAGTTCCCAATCACTGCTCATCTGATCCACCTGCTCCTGCCTCTATTTAGGTGCTTGCTCCCAGTCAGCAGGGCCAGATTATTCTTGTTCTCTTTAACCAGTGGTGAGTGTTTTTAGAGTGCGTTAGTGTTTCTTATTTTCTGACCCTGACCTGTTCTGCCTCCCAACCGCTGAGCCTGCCTGTTTCCATCTGAACGGTTTATATGAACTGTCTTCGGGCTCATGGACCTCCGAGCCTTCCTGCTCCTGGCTTGGCTTTGAATTCCTGGACCTCTGAGCCTTTCTGTTCCTGCTCTGACCTGGCTTTGGAGTCCTGCATGTTCTCTGGGGCCTTGAGAGATATTATTGTTCTGCAAGCAAACTCTGGGTCTACTGATTTAAAACATCTGCAAGACCCTCAAAACAGAGATCTAGACACCATCTATTTCTGGTTCCACCAGGTCAATAAAGAAAGTATTTTTTGGTGTTGATACTATTACTGTGGTTTATTTGTGCATATGGTACATAAAACTACAAACCACAACTGTAACCAATGACTGGCTGATTGCTGAATCACTGGCACTTAGAGACAAAAAGAAAGGAAGTGAAACATGAAGGGAAACGACAGTGGCAGATTGAGAGATTCAGCAGGAATTGAACCACTCCCTAAAAGCTTGACTAAGTAAATCTTCTGGCGCTTAACTGACAATAAAATAAGGCAAGCAAGACATCTGCAAAGGGAGTTAATATAAGCAGATGAGACCCTGAAAACAAGCAGAACATCACAAACAGAAAATTAAATATCTATAGTAAAATACTTTTTTATTTTTCTCTCACCAGCCTCAGAATCTGGACAAGATTCCTCTTTTGAGGGATAAATCAAATGTTTAATTTTAAACTCTTAGGTGAGAAATAGGATCTTTTTCTTTCATTTAAACCCCTCATTCTGATTGTTTTCCAGTGCATCATTTGTTTAGTTTGTTTGTTGGTTTATTACAGTATTTTCAAAGCATGGGACAAGGTTAGATTTGCTGTTTGGGCATATTTTCTCCTGTGATAGCATGTTTAAATTTGTCCACTCAGCATGCAGCATGTCAGTGTGTTTGAATGTGTGTGTGTTCTCAGTATGGAGGCAGGGTACACAGCTCAGTCAGGGGGTCGCAGCGCCAGCGGTGCCAAATTGCTTTTCTTGGACGTGTATGGTGGGGACCACTATAGTGAACCCCCCCCCCCCCCCCCCCCCCCCGCACCCCCACCCTTCCCGTTCTAAGTGGGGGGGGGGGGGGGGCTCCAGGCCCCTGGGTCACTAACTCTATCACCAGATCAAGAGTAATAATTATTAATACCCCACGAGTGTTAACAGCACGCAGGTGATTTATCAAAAATGTCGATTACGTTTTGCACAGGGTGACAACTTTTTATAGCTGAGCACGTCCCAAAGGAGCCGTTCTAAATGGAGCACGTGGCTTCAAGAGGAAACTCACAGGTTTCTAATAAATAAATACAAAATCTGGACACAAACAGCTCAGAATCCCTGCTGCTGTCAAAAGTCTCAGATCTACATGAATCCAGATGAGGATCAAGATCAGAAACGACATTGAACAGAAATTAAAAGTTAATGAAAGTTTAAAAATTAAAGATTTTGAGATAAAATGTTCAACTTACAGGTCAAGTTATAAAAACTTTTTTATGATTTATAAACTGGGGAACTGCTTCTTTAAAATACATGATAACGTATTATTGTCTGTATACAGTGGCTTGAAAAAGTATTCATACCACATTAACTTTTTCCCATTTTGTCACATTACAACCACAAATAAACATATTTTGTTGGACTTTTTCATAGATTTCATAAGGTGGAATATAAATATGAAGTAGAAACGAAATTATACATGATCTGTTTTTATTATTTTATACATAAAAAAAACTGAAAAGGGCACTGGGCAAATGTAATCACCCCCTCTATGTCAAAGCCTTGTGGAACCATCGGTTACAGATATTACGGCTCAGAATAGAGCTCTGCAGATCTTTTAGGGCCTCTGCCAGCTTGGCTCATCTAGACTGGCATTTTCCCATTCTTCTTAGCAAAACAACTCAAGCTCAGTCAAATTAGATGGAACAAACGTTTCCAGGTTTTGCTACTCTTTCTCGATTGGGTTTAGTTCTGGACTTTGGCACATTTTAAAGTGTCTGTTTTGTTGTAAATCATTCCACTGAAGCGCTGGCTTTATTTTTAGGGTTGTGCCCTAATCCCATCCCAGCCTCAAGGCTTTTGCAGAATCCAACAGGTTTTCTTCCAAGCTTATCCTGCATTTGGCTCACTGTATCCTTTCATTAACTCAGACCACCTTCCTGTCCCTACTGAAGACAAGCATGCCCAGACCATGACGTCTCCCGTCTGTGGTCACCTACAATTTTGGAGAGGTGCAGCAGAGTGTCTGCGGCAGGGGCGGGGGCACATTTGCATTCACTGTGACACACACAACCTGGTTTCCTAGTATAAAGCAGCCTTAAGCCTATAGCAGCATAACTATAGAGATATAGGGTAACTTGAGCCACTCTAACTATAAGCTTTATCAAAAAGGAAAGTTTTAAGCCTAACCTTAAAAGTAGACAGGGTGTCTGCCTCACGGACTAAAACTGGTAGTTGGTTCCACAGAAGAGGAGCCTGATAATAAAAAGTTCTGCCTCCCATTTTACTTTTAGAAATTCTAGGAACCACTAGTAAACCTGAAGATTGAGAGCGAAGTGCTCTGTTAGGAACATAAGGAGCAATCAGCTTTATGTGAGAAGGAGGATTTTAGATTCTATTCTAGATTTAACAACAAGTCAATCAAGCTAGGATAGGAGAGATATGATCTCTCTCTTTAATTTTCATCAGAACTCTGGCTGCAGCATTTTGGATCAGTTGAAGGCTATAGCTTAAGGACTTCTCGATAGTAAAGAATTACAATAGTCCAGCCTTGAAGTAACAAATGCATGGACTAGTTTCTCAGCATCACCCTGGACAGTATATTTCTAATTTTTGCAATACTCCAGGAGGAAATTCTAGAAACCTTCAGTGTCTGATTAATAGCTCTTCTGTGGAGAGACTCCCCTTAAGCTGTGGGTCTCTGCAGTTCATCCAGAGTAACTATGGGTCTCTTAGCTACATTTCAAAACGTTTTTTTGTGTGGAAGTTTAGCAGGAGGGCGTTGTCTATGTAGATTAATTCTATTTTCAGATGATGGATTGAACAATGCTCTGTGAGATTTTCAAAGCTTGGGAAAGTTTTTCACACCTTTAAACATCTCCATAACTTTATCCCTGACCTGTCTGGTGTTCTCCTTTGACTTTATGGTGCTGTTTGACCAAAATCAACCAACATCTGAGGCCGTCTCAGGGCAGCTGTATTTGTACTGAGGTTAGATTACACACAGGTGGACTCTTGACTATTTATCATTAGCAATCATCAAGCAACTTCTGAAGGCAATTTGTTGCATTCAGGGAGAGAAGGGATGCATTTTTGCACTTTTGCAAACCACACCAATAAATATTTTATCAGTAAAAAATCAATTTCAATAAAAATCACTGCAAAAAATTAAAATCTCGGTGAGTCATTTTTTTCTTAAAATAAGTGCCCTTTTTCTTTAACTTTAGGCTTTGCTTATGGAACACGACAATTTACAATTAAAATAAGAAAGAACAATGCCATTGCCTTATTTCAATAGCATATTATCTGATTATCCTATTTTAAGAGTAAAAATACTCATGCCATTGGCAAATCATCATATTGACCCCTTAGGGATCTATACGAACACTGGAAAAACAATCTAGAAATAAGTAACATTTTCTTAAATTACGGGTATTTACCCTTAATTCAGAAAACATTTCCTTATTTCTAAATACTAATAATTTACACTGCTTCTTATTGTTTGACAGATAATTATCTAATTTTCCATACAATAGGTTGAAAAGTTGAAAGACGATCATTTCACACCTAAAATGTTAAGGTGTGTGAATAAATTTGAGGTTTCACTATAAATGCTAAAATTATTTTCTCATTATCAAAAACAAACAGATGTAATTTGCCAAACTGTTTGCTGTGTGTTTTTATTAGTCAGTTGTAAAAGTGGATGAATGTGAATAAAATAATTTAATTATCTTTGTTGGGTATAGGTGAGCAGATTTTTGCTAGGTTGCTAGGTTTTTTTGCAGCATAGGCCTACTGCAAAAATCTACTTTTATGTTTACATAATTGCATCTTATCCCCTTATGTTTGAGATGGAACCATTTAGTAGTGATAGATGATGGGGACACAATCGGAGAGAAAGTTTGAGGTTTCCGACTGTCCAATCGGTCTGTTCACCTTTTATTGATCTGCTGAGTTGGAATCTAAAGTGAAATAGACTGATTAAAAACAAGTGTCTCAAAACAAGGATCCATCCATCATCTGACACGCTTGTCCCGAGTGGGGTTGCGAGGGGTGCTGGTGCCTATCTCCAGCAGTCAACGGGTGAGAGGCAGGTCACACCCTGGACAGGTTGCCAGTCCATTGCAGGGCAACACAGGACAAACAACCATTCACACACACACACACCTAAGGACAATTTAGAGAAGCCAATTTACCTAAGGACAATTTAGAGAAGCCAATTAACCCAACAGTCATGTTTTTGGACTGTGGGAGGAAGCCAGAGTACCCGGAGAGAACCCATGCATGCTCAGGGAGAACATGCAAACTCCATGCAGAAAGACCCTGAGCCAGGAAACGAACCCAGAACCTTCGAGCCGCAGGGCAGCAGTGCTAACCACTGCTCCACGGAGCAGCCCAAAAACAAGGATATGCTATGAAAATATAATATCAAAATAAATATGTCTTCCACCAGAAATGGTGCTATTTCCCAAGGAATATTTAAAACTGAAAAGCTGATCTTTTGTTTCATCTTAATTATTTGCTCATCCTTAATGCAGACACAGCTGTGTTGCTCAGATTTGGGTGGGAACTTGTAGAGAAATGCTAAAAACTCTCAAAGGGTGAAGCAGTGGAGAGCAGTGGCCTATAGAGAGCATGGTGTGTGCCTACTGGAGTGACCGCAATGTTCACCTGTTCTGAGGTCAGACTCATTCTGCAGTCCCTGAGCAAGATCCCTAAACCCAGAATGCCCCCTGAGTTCAACTCAGGATAGCAGCTCACTGTTCCACCAAATGCAGAGGACAGATTTCTCCACTATAAAGACATGTTTCCTTTCTCCTTGTCTTTGCTTTCCACAGACATAACATCTGGTTAGGCTACCTAATTGTATTTGAATGAAGATTCCGCCTATCATTAACCCAGCCTGGCTTTAGAATGTATAGCAGTATTTCTTTCTTTTTTATTTGGAGTTTTGGATGCTCAAGCAAATTATACAGCCATAGAATACATTTTAAACCCTTGTTTTTTTTCAGTTCCTTGATCTAAAAGAGAACAAGGGTGGTTTAATCATATTTCCATGGTTGTATGCCAGTACCTGTGTTTTGGAAAGTTGCTCAGCTCAGTGGAAAGAGGTATCTCTGGTTAAACTGACCTTAAAGTCGTCGAACTGGTTGTTTTCATAGATGACAGGAGTTGGATATTTACTAGTACTTCTCTTTGATATTCAGCACTGAATAAAAAGGGTATACCAACGAATCGGCTTAATGCATGTGCTAGTATGAAGGTAAAAAAAAAAAGACTCTTCCAGGATTCTGGAAATCATCAAACAAACTTTGTGAAAATAAATTCCCCAAAGCTTCTACCTGCTGAAGTGTTCAGCAGCAATGCAATGGTGAGGGGAAGGAGGTCATTATCAGGTTGATTAAAAGGATGTGAATCCATCAGCTGCTGTTTGTCTGCACTCTGTTTATGACGCGCAGATGCAAGTGTGTGTGTGTGTGTGTAGGTATACTGTAGGTAAGCTGAGCCGAAGAGACGCTGACTGTGTCAAATCTCAGCAGCAGCAGACGCCAGAGACGCACCACAGCCGCCCCCCCTGCTTCCATCTCTGTTTCCCTCCATCCCTCCTCAGTCGCTTTGTTTGAGCTCAGATGGACTCTGCCCTGATTTATAGAAAGAAAAGCCCTCAGAGTAGTCACAGTGATATCTCTCTCTACCACACACACACACACACAGTGAGCCCCCTTCAGTCTACAGCATACCACCACATCCTGCCTCAGGTACACACAGACAGACACACACACGCTTCCCATCTCAGTGCGAGGTGACGGCTGTCACACAGCTCAGCGTTTCCTCTGAGTCAGCAAAACCAGGAAGAGGAGCGGAGTGATGGAGAGGCTGAAGAGGAAAAAAAAAGAGACCAAGAAAAGAGATATAAGGAGAAAATTAAGATTTCAACTCAAAGCTGAATGTTCAACCCATAAAAAGACTCAGCAAATTTTAGTTAATTTGGAAAGTTGGATTGCAGAGATAAGAAAGATGCATGCACTCTTATCAGCTAAAAACATCCATCCTTATTATTGCTCTATTAAAAGATGATGATAAATGAACACTGACTAATTTTGAACTGAAAAATGCTGCTTTTCAATTTCGACCAATCAGCTAAAGGATGTAATTAAATTCATTAAACAAAATATCTTAAAGATAATGATTTGGCAATTATGTTATGTCATATCAAAGGTGTGAAAGCTTGCACAGCAAATTAAACAGAAAAAAGCTGTAACAGAGAAAGGAAGTTTTATCTATTAGAATGTAAAAGTCATCACCAAATCCACAGACTTTTTACCGTCTAACATTTGAATTTAGTTTTATGATATCATATTGGAGCTCGATCGAACACAAATGATGCATGAATTATTTCTTATTTAAATCGGTTGTGTTAAATAACATTATTTGATTTTTGTGCTTGTTTGTTCTATATGTGACCTAAAATAAATTTCTCTTCTCGATTTTCACAAAGAGAAATAGTAATAATGATGCAGAATAAGGGTTTGGCTCAGTGATAACAGCTGACTACATTCATACATACATACAGATATATATATATATATATATATATATATATATATATATATATATATATATATATATATATATATATATATATATATATATATATATATATATATATATATATATATATATATATATATATATATATATATATATATATATATATGCATTCTAAAAATAAGAAAAATTCTAAACAAATCAACAACAAACAAACTCTAATGCCAAACTACAGTTTTTAATAACGATATATAAAGTTTGGCATTAAAAGCCACACCAGAGGGTCAAACAGAAAGCAGCTGTAGCTTCAGTGACGCATCACTGACCTGCACCCATCCCGCGGTCTCCACACACAGACAGACACACACAATTACACACACCGTTTCCTAATCACACACTCCGTCACGGCGGGTTATGATCCGTGTTTGAAGTGAGCCACAAGCCGCCGGACCTGACGGCGGTGTCACATCAGCACCAACCCTGGATGGCGCTTGTCTCCAGCTTTGCGCCCCATCTTACGGCCATAAACAGACCCATTTAGGGCAGGCACGGGCACGAGAACGCGTGCACGCTACCCTCCCAGCACAGAACAACAAGATGTCACGAAGTTATCCCGAGGTGAACAGGGAAGTTTAATGGTTCAGAGGGAAGCAGTGAGCTTCACACAGCCGTCTGACTTGGAAGTTGCGCGCAGAGGCCCGCAGTCAAGCAGCCGGAGTTTGGACAGGGCAGGGAGGGTTCGGTCCTTCTGTCTTTCAAAGACAGAAACACGCGCAAACAGAGATCTGAAAATGAAAGCAGGGATGCAAAAGGTCAGATCATCCTCTGCCCAAACATCCTGCGCTCTGATGCGGGGCGACAAACCAAACGCGGCCCTCTGAGAAAAGCTCCGGGTTCAGGCTTCACCGGGTAGAGCCTCTCTTGAAAACAAAAACGAGGGGGAAAAAACGTCTAAAAAATAAATAATACGATATGAGAGTAGGTTTTATGATAAATTAAATATACGTTGATATTATTAACATAGTTGATATTGATATATGTAAATTATCTAAATAATAAAGCATGTTTTATATGCGCGCAAAACCCGTATCACTAATTTCCCCCCCCATTTTTATTAGATAAATCAATTAGAGATATAGGCCTATATTATGAATATCAAATCAGCTGTAATATGGATTAATTTAGAACGAATAGCCTATTTTAAGTTGCGCATTTATTTTATTTTCATAACTTTTTTATTATTATTTTCTTCTAACAGGAACATCTTAGGCTGCATATCATTTCGGAAATTTCTATTTTCGTTTTTTGTAATTGTTGCAAATCCAAACCAAGTTCCGATGTCGCTTATAGGCAAAAAATAATAAATAAATAAAATAAATAAATAAATAAATAAATAAAATTGATTAAAAAAGATAAGTACAAAAAGTAGCACCGATAATCTCTGATAGAATGTTCTAAATAATTTTATTTCTATTCAATTAATTTATTCTTCTTAAAATATTATTGATAATATTTAACTTTTTGAAGAAAACCCTTTGTTGTAACAAGCAGACAGCAGCAGTGTCACAGATTTGGGACAGAACTTTTTATTAAACAATATGAAAACAAGAGTTTCTCAAACACTTTTTTTCCACTTTGCAGATGTTTCCACTTGCTAACAGATCAGGACAGGTCCGTTAGATAAATATAGAAATCATATGTACAGATATACATCCACAGCACTGTGCAGAAGTCTGAGTCCAAATACCGATCCAATTATACTGATTTTCAAAGGTCTATTAAAAATGATTTATTTAATTGGTCGGAAATTACTGTAAATTCTATGATAGATTTTTGACATGAAAAAAACGATTTTATTTTATTCAAACACCAGAACGCTTCTGCACAATATTGCACATATATCTAGGCAGCAGATGACACACGAACTTGTTGACAGAGTAATGATGGCAAAATGTCCCGTTAGTTTTTCTAACAATCAAGCATCCTCCCCTTCTTAAGACACCGGGCTGCAAGGGAAGCCCCGCAGGCCCAACAACTCATTATCTAAAATGAAAATTAAAAAACACAGAGAGAGAAAATAAATCATTAAATCTTTTTAATCTTCAGATTGGTGCATAGAGTTTTAGCAGCAGTCCTTTCCCATCCTTTAAATCAAATTTACATCCAGGTTAAAAACAAAACATATCTCCAGTTTGCTCTTTAGTGCAGGTTCAACATGTTCAGCAGGAGGAGGAGGATACCACAGACAATTTGCATGCTGTAACATACAAACATTTGGATTAAGACATTTCGAAGAATCCAAGCAACAAAAGCCTTAAAAAGAGCAAAGATAAAACAACACAGATCACTGCTTGTTTTTTTCTCTACATAATATATACAGGTGGAAATAAATACAGTCTAAAATCTGGCTCAGGTAATCTCTTTTTGTCGTTTTTCTTTTCCTTTTAAAACAATAGAAAAAACTGATTGAAAAAAGCAAGTAGAGACGCATCCATAAGTTTTGCAGTGAAGCAGATTGTTTTTTGTTTTTTTTGTTTTGTTTTTTTGCACTTCAGTTCACACCTCTCGGGGGGGCTTTTCTGCATACCCAGACCTTACAGATGGCAGAGGAAGGGATGCATGGATGGGGGAGAACCCATGGGTCATGCTTTCCATACATATGTGGAGGGGATTTGGCTGAAGGTTACCATACATGTCCTGCATGCAGGGTTGCAAAAGGATGAGAGGACTATTACACTTGCATTACTGAGAGTCTCTGCGTCACAGCGCATTCTCCTCCAGCGGTCTGTGCTGATGCTTCTGCCTTCTTCTACCACAAACGCAGCGCTTTCTCTGGATTAAGACAGTCATTGGTTTATAAGACTTCTGACAGGAAAAGGGTCTGCAGACTGAAAGTGATCCCGTGTGCCGACCTGACTGGTTTGTTGTGGACTTGCAGAAGTTTAACAACTTTAAGACTCACAGATGTGACGCTTGTGCGCACCTAACCTTTATTTGTTAAGAAGATGAGATTAAACGTCTTTTTTTGTTGAGGAATAACCGTAAACACAAATCAGAAAAGATCTTTAGAGTCAGAAGAGGGTAGAGGCAAGGGCTGTAATGTCTTTCACATGAAGTAGTCGGTGCTGGCCTGTTTCCCAGACGGATCTCTTGTGTTCGCGGGCCCACCGGAGTTGTAGGTCCGGCTGGCCAGCTTCTCGTACTTCTCCTTGTACAGATCCCGCTCTTTGACAAGGCGCGCCACGTCCTGCTTCAGCTGCTCCACCTGATTCTGCAGGGTGCACTTCTCGGTCTCCAACATGTGCCGCTGCTGGACGCGCTTGAAGCGACAGGACTGCGCGTAGCCGCGGTTCTTCAGGGTGCGTCGCTTCTGCTTCAGGCGGATCACCTCCTCCTTGCTGAAGCCCCGCAGCTGCCGATTCAGCTCCCGCACAGTCATGCTCACTAGCTGCTCGTCCGAGAATCGGTCCTCCAGGCGGCTGTGGTGGCCGTGGTGGTGGTGATGGTGATGGTGGTGGGCCTGATGGTGGTGCGCGGCCGAGGTCGCGGACAGGTCCTCTCCGACGTACTGCTGCCCGCGGAAGCCGTCGTAGGCCTGGTGATGATGGTGGTGATGGTGAGCGTTGCCTATCAGGGCCTCCACTGCGTCCTCCGGGGTCAGATTCAGCGCCTCTGGGTTGATGTGGTGCTGGTAGCTGGGGATCCAGTACAGGTCCTCCAGCTGAGGCTTGCCCGTGTTGTTGTGATTGTTGTTGCCGCTGCTGTTGTTGCTGTTGCTGCCACCGTTCACGCCACCGGGTAGGCCCTGGTTGGGCTGCGCGCCCGGGCTCGGAGCGCAGAAGCTGGGCGAGGAAGGCACGGAGGAGCAGGGGGTGCTGATTGGCGTGGAGGACAGTGAGCCGGAGGGCAGGCGATGACAGAAGCGGTCGGCCTCCAGCGGCTCCTTCTTCACCTCAAACTTCATCAGATCGAAGTCGTTGACGTACTCAATGGCCAGAGGGCTGTTAGGCAGCTCCGCGCTCATGGCGAGGTCGGTGGCCATGTCAGTCCATGCGACGACACCTGGCCTCACAGCCAAACCGACAGCGGGCAGATTGCGAAGGGAATTAAAAGCCTGTATGGTGTATATAGGCACACGCACACGCCCGGTGCGTGGAAGTGCTGCAGGCCCGGTGGGTGGGAGGAGAAACTTATAAAGGCTGCGCGTTCGACAGGCCGCTTCTATATATAGCGGAGCGAATATACGTCCGCATGTAAATGAACTTGTACACCTGCCAGTTCGCCTCCGCTCGCAGCTCTTGTTGACAACTTATCCCAGGTCAGAT